TTTTAAAAATATTTGTCTTGGATATTACCAATGTGCGGGACATTTGGATTAACAATACGTACCAGTAATACAACACGCATGTGCGGCGAATGCACCTTTGTTTACAATTCACGGTGTATCCGTATTACCCCTTCGACATTGAACATGTTGAAATCCCTTCAAGGTGACAACGTTATCATGAATACATAAGGGGCATATTAAAAGCAAGTAGAAAGCAAAAGCAGCGGAAAGCTGTAAGACGTTGGTGTATTTACGATATTACCCATAGTGCTTTGTTTTCATCATAATGAGCGAGGGTTAACGACACAGTATGTGCCTTGGTCACTTATCCACTCTGTGGTTCCTCTACATTGGCGGTGGCGGTAATGGTTTGTACCAGGTGGCAAAGTGAATACTGATTATCAAATAACCAAAATATCGATCAACAAACGTAGGCGTATTTTAAAGGCAATGGCTACCGTCAATATTATACACAGGTAGGAAAAAAGTATACGAAATCAATCAATATAATGAGATTGCGTGGTTATTATTATGTCAGTATATTGGCAATTAAAATAAATTTGTTATAAAACTCCATTATAAAACCGCACACAATTAGTAGAACACTGGTGAACTAAATAATCCTTTTGTTTACTTATCTGCGCCGTTTACCATATATGGTTTGAGCAAAATAGTTGACATACTCGTATCTAATTTCAGAGAACGCCATGATGATTGGAAGAAGACAATCACGTGAGGATCCACGCGTCGGAAAGACGCACATTTAAGGTATAATTGATGTTGCATTACGTCATCTCAGCCCATACCTACGCATGGCAATGAAAACAACAAATACAATGAATATGATTTTAATAACCTATTGGGAAACAAGTTGTTGATATGTATGTCACACAACATGTACAGTACATATAACTTGTTTCTGCATATAATGATCTTAAATTTACAGTGGATCGTCATATTGTAGTTCAATTCTATTTAACATTTATTCCCCGTTGAGAATAAATAGTGTACTTATTTGCGGGAAATTGCATTTTGTAGCAATAGTTTATTTCAGTTCAAAATATTTAATTTTAACTGTTGTATTTTTTTAAAACGTGACAAATGTTTCAATCCTAAACCCACGAAATGCACAAACACAAGTGACCATGACTTCTGCAGTTCGTATTAGACGATTTTCACGTTCGGAATGCAACATTTGGAAGGATGTAGGGTCGGGGATTGTCGTAAGAAAAGTGGGTAATTTTACGTCACAGAGCCGCAAAGTTCCGCTCTGTTTTGTAACATCGGTCTTGACCTATTTGGTTCCAATTTTTAACTTGCTGCAGAAAACCACACAAGAAATTAAACTGTGTGTCCCTCTTGGCTTGTTACATGCAATCTTAGATGACTAAGATATTCTGAAAATTTGGTTGGGGACAAATGAAAAGAAAATTGTGCGAAGAGGCTGGCCGATTTTATTTTCAACCGAACTTATTACCTACAAACATCCGAAGCGCGCAGCCGCAGTTGAGTTCGCTAAAATGTCTGTTAAAAATACACGTCTTATAAATGATTCGCAAGCGTAGTATAAACAAAGCGAGCAGCATATGATTGTCGAACGATTGTCATAGAAACAAGACCACGTGACGTTGCTGAAATCTTCTTTGGTAAAAGAAAACTTGCACGTCATCGGCATGAAGCACTGTGACATGTGGGCGTTGTCCTGTGGTATAAATAGTAGTATGAATGTCAGAGTAGATGCCAAACCGACTCTTGTCTTCTGTGTGTAGTGAGTCACGATACTCTGAAGAGAACCACAACAAAGTTAAAGTCATAAGGTAAGCGTTTACTGGTTGTTTATTTCTGTGTTTCCGTATCTGCCTTCTGACATGTATTTCTTTTCCCCATTATTATGAATTACATGCGTTGCCTTAATAATGCTTCAACCCTCGGTGACTTTTCTCAATCTACCATGCAATTGTTTACTCACTAGACTGTATTACGATCTAAGCTAAATGTGTCAACACATGTTTAATCGTGCAATGCACCAATATTAAAACACCCAACCACTTGAACTCAATGTTACTCAAAATTTGACATTGCATTTAATTGATCAGCGAAAATATACAATAAAATTGTTAATATACAATTAGAGAGACAAGTTCAAATATTGGCGAAACGATATTCAGATTTGACAAATGGAATACAATAGACCGAGAAATGGGTGTATTAAATAGATATTGACTATGCAACTTATTACACTACGCAATAATATATTAATAATTCGTGGACGCGTAAGTTTCTTCACGCACTTAATGGTTCTGTCGAGACGGCACAACCCACTATCCGGTACTCCGAAATATTAAAAGTTTGATAAATTAAACATTTGAGAACAGGATATATGTAGATACGAAACGTATTTATTACTCGTGAAGATTGACTTAGCTGTTGCACCCCGCGGTGGGTGAAGTGATAGCCTCTGGTTGCTTAAGATTTCTGTTCGGTCATTATGTCTTGTAGAGTGCTAACTGCTTTGTCGTGGAGTCGACGCCGACTGTTTCCTTATTTCATCGGACAAAACAGATCCATTTTAAACACGAATTACCACTGAAAGGCGACTTTTATCCCCATTATCACGATACCGCGATCATTACACACACGGCGAAAACTATTGGTTGAACAGAGAAGACGAAACGTTGCCCGGTATACCTAATTAACTATTTGTGAGTTCCCGGTGTGTACATGCGATAGTCTGTTTAATTACGTGACCATTTGTTAGGCTACTTTAAAGATGTATCACGACGCGCACACATCAACTGACCGAGTTTCACGGAAAGTGTAATCATTCAGTCACCAAGTCAGGATATTGTCAAGATCTTATAGGTTATCCCGTTTAATCTCAGTCGTGACGGATATTGAAATAGTTCCGGAGGCTGTTAATTATACACGAGATAATAATCAACTAAGCGGATGTAATTTCATATATATGGATTTAAATTTCATTTTTCTGTAGATTTGAAGACGTGTTTCAATAAAACAAGAAGCCAGTCTAATAACATTGTAATCTTCATTTCCAGAGAGAGTCATCCATTTACTTTTTTATAACAACTAATAAGAATCTTTTAGAGACACATTATTACACAAAACTGTTAGTTAAATGTAATGGCCAGGGGGGACGATTATCTTGATACTCGGACACTGTGAATGGCACGAATGAATGAGTTAGAATAGGATTTTTCATAAAGTACAAATGGATCGTATTCATCCATCTCACTTAATGATATATGGTGATATTTCACTGGTGTGTTTTAATTAATCACTGTCGTTCGAATATCATTAACATAATAATTTACGACGTATTTCCCCGGTGTTTAGTTGTAGTGAGTGCACCTACTAAAATACCAGTCACTACAGATCAAGAAACTAATCATACTATTAGTCATTCGGATCATATCTTTCTATATACACGTGTCTCTCTAATCCTGTTGTTGACTGTGTGTATGCGACTGCGATGATATATACGCATGTGTAATTGCAGCTAGGTGATTAATTAGTCTGTCACACACCAAACAGTTATATTGCACAAAGACGCAATACAGCAGCGAATATGGCAGAAAGTCAATTATACCTAGTGACAGACAACATGCAGTCGAATGTTGTTTAATTCTCTGTCTCAGTCTTAAGTAAAATCATAGAGTTTTGACCACCAATTCCAATTAGAATACAGTGTGTAATCTCTCGTATGTGTGATAGAATGAATTTCACGGATTTAAATAAACACATGATGTATTTTAAAATCCCAAAGAACGTATTATCGCATTCATAAAGTTATATGCCGATATTCGCCGGGTGTCGTGTACACACAAATGTTACAGGAAGTTTTTGATTATAGCCAACTGAAGCGTGAAGTTTTATGTATCATAATCCACACATGTTATCCATTATATTGACGGTGTTATTTTGAATTACCGATGTATGAAGGTAACCATTTAACCTGATACGCGTGCCCTTCTGGGCAGGATGTAAGAAATAACACGCATACAACATTTATATATAAACAAAACAGTTGTGCGTGAATATTCGTATTTCATTTCTTTGGCTGATTTTGTTATTGCTATATTTATAGGGATCGGTCGATTGTTTTTGTGTTTTAACTGGCATCTTTGATGCTCTGAAATGCAACAAGAAAAAATATTTAATAATCCACAAATTGGAGATGTACTAAAAACGATTTGTTTTACGCGTTTATGGCGAAACTGAAATCAAATGCGCACGTTATTTATTGTAAGCAGAATACATAATTTCTACAAGTTACGCCCGCTAGTGGCGATGTGATCCGTGACGCCGTGAATGACGTAAATGGGAATAAGCGATGCGGTTCAAATAGACAACTCTGTTTGTGTGGACATTCGTCTATTCAATTAAATCTTGTTTTTAAAGAAAGAAATTTTTTTTTTCTTGGCGGGCAACCATGATTATAGCAATATTAACAGAGTAGACGACGTCCTTTAAACCCACACACGACCCAGAAGCGCTTAATTGCAAAGATACGCAACTTGTGGGACCGATGTCTTTGAGATTGTGCCTTATATATTACGTGGTCGATAATTAGGAATGAATTGAGCCTAAAAAATGCGCTATTATACCAATATTTATCATATGTTTCCAATGATTATTCCGAAAATCGGCAGAGGATTAGTTCAAATGATTACTTGTTTTAAAGACAATGCCTGAATAAGTATACTCTATTTGAAACAAAAAACACAAAATACTAACTGTCAAATCACTTGGCTCGGGTAACACTGAGAACTGTTCGAAGAGCGGTGCACATCTCAAGCTTTCCATGTGCCTAGCGGCGAATCACATTTTCTTATTCCACTTTTACTTGATTTCTCAAAAAGTTACAAATCACACTAGAAAATAAATACCAAAACACTAATATTGACATATATAGGTTAAAAAAACAACAACATGTCATATATACTGTTGTATGTAATGAGTACGCATATTCCATCGTGATAACCGCTTCGCAATACGATAAGTAAAATTCTATTGTTCATACTTCAAGTCGCCTACGGCTGTCTTATTTCAGTCTACACGGGAACAATGTCGTCAAGTGACGTTTACATTAAACGCGCATGATTTACGGAAGCTCTGTGATCCCAGTTATAATCTCTTGCCGTAAATCGCCGTTGATATTTTAAAATTCAAATGCCATACACACAATGCGTGTGAGTTTTATTTTTATTCTTAATTAATGTTTCGCTCTCAGCTCACCAATAGGGAATGGGTCCCCGCCGTTGAATTTAATGGTGTTGCTGATGTTAATTTCCTGGAAAATGCTTGCCGTGGTTTTTTGGCGGGGAGTGAATTCAAAGTCGCCAATAAGAAAATGTACAGATGCGTTTACTTATAAGCGTGTTAGTACTATCACAATCTGATTCAAGTTTGCTGCGTATTGACAACTTGTATTTCCGCGAGCTTCGAACCAGTGATATTACACCAATAACATTTTAACAACATTTCATCAAAATCCCTCTAGTGACGGAGCGCTTCAGTGACGTAAAAATGACGTAATTGGGTGAAAAGAGTTTGGTTGTGTAGTCGTGCATCATCTAGAATATATTAAAATCTCCAAACACACAATCATCGTTCATCGAAACGATAGCGACGCTTTGAGTGGCATCTGTGCTACCCAATTACGTCATATATGCGTTTCGGTGTTTGAGGGCGCAAATCATAGGAGAGGTATATTGTCTACAGCACTGGTGTAGACGTTGTGTTAAAGATGCAATGTATATAATTTTTGTTTTGAAATACACTTGTATTAACTGTAAAAGCAATACCTTTAGTCTAAGATAAACCATAATCCAATTTGGCAAAGTGCATACAGTAATTACGTAATAATCGCAAACATGTCAATCATGCTTGAAAATTAGGGATGTCAACAAGAGGTTTTCTTTATTTCCCAGGTGTAAAATCACACTATCGGTTATCTGCGTAACGTGACGGGCGTTTGATTCAACGATACTGGTCGGTACCATTGGCAGAACATGTGAAATTGATTCAATTGTGAGCGCGTTAAAGCGCGGTAGTTCGTCGCGCTGCG